CTATCCCGTACAGCGTTGGTAACACTGATTTTTTCAAATGATGTATATTTAAACATAATTAGTAATGGTTGTATATTGATACCTATAAAGCCAATGATATGGAAGGAATAATTAAAAAACGGTTACAAAGAAATTATGATTATATTGTTTTAAGGGACAAAGCCCTTTCTTTCAAAAACATGTCAATATGGCGTTGTTCATGCTGTTCGGACGTAAAATGAAATTTTAAACACACTTTTTAACACAATTTTTACCACATCAATGGCGGTATTCCGACGGATCGGCCGCTTTCTGAGCGAAAGAGTTAACAAAACTGTTTTCATTAAATATAATGATAGCATACTTTCTTTCAGACGTATGGCACAGTTTTATCTCTTAGGATAACTCTTACGCAGGTATATAACAGACCTTCTGTTCTTGTAATAATGCATGAGAAATTTTGATTATGGTTTGATATGAATAGGATGTGTGCACGCGTATATAAATAAATGCATTTTATTTAAAACCAAAAATAAAATCTCCGATTTTGCCATAACAATCAAAAATAATTTTTGGTTGTTTTGACTGGAATCGAGATATTACATCTAAAACTAGAATTATATTATAGGTATTATATTATTAAGATTTTTTTAATATCTTTCAGCTTGGTTGGGGTTACGATTCTTTTAAATATAGATTATCAGAATCATGATTAATTTTAATCTCGGCGCACTATAGCAGTCCAATTATTGTGTCAGTCGACACAAATCGGGCGAATATGCTGTATTGTTTTATGTCGTCGTGTTGTTTTCTGTAGTGAATTGGAACAAAATAGTATGTACCATGGTTGATGAGAAAACGTCTTCTCTTTCAGTCGTCAATATAATTTTGAGAAAAATGTATAGAAATTTTGAAAGTTGTAATGATAGGATTAAATTTGAATTTCTCTATGTTACATACTGTTTCGTAAGTACCTTATAGATTATGAGTGCATGATGCATCATTTATCCTTGCTTACATTCGATGAACAAAGAACATTGAGCATAAAACGAAATGCCACAATAATTTACAGAGAGACATGTTCGATCAACGAGATATTCTGCGGGTATAGATATCGAAAAATTTATCCAATGAACGAGTAATTTTGGTATATTAAACATGGTACAATTATCATTGCAATTGAAAATGCAGTAAAAATAATATTATTACGTAGTTGCATAATTAAAAAATTAATAGTGCGCGATAAAGTGTACGGTAACGTTGAAAATATACGTACTCGTATAACACAAATTTCATTGAACTACTGGTTACTTTAATATTAATAAACGGATTGTAATATTAACAATAAATAAGCCTTATTTACTTTTAATTGTTAAATTGCGATTATGAAATTTATTAAAATTTATCTGGTGAAATTTAATTACCTTCACCTTGTGGTACGCTTGTTAAGAGTACATTCTAGTAACCACACTAAAAATAAGGCCTTTTTGGAATTTTTCTTATACAAAACTATGAGACGTACGATTCTAATTTTTCACATATTTTCACATATTATTAATACACATGTCAATATATGAAAAAAATTATATGTCAATATATGAAAAAAAAAGCGGTATCTTAATTTCAAAATTACACGAAATTAGTTGAGAGTCGCAGAGTTAAAAAAATAAGATGACCAAATGGTTGACACGATATCTCGAGAACTAATAGCCAGAAATAAAACATAAAATTTTTTCTTAAAATTTATTTGCGTGATTATAGCTTAAATTGCAATTATTGAGAAATATTAAAAATTTGCGAGTTGGCATGTGTTTTTAGAACGTGATGCGAAAAAACACTTTTATTTCAATCAAAAAAGTTGGACAAAAAATTTCATTTTAATGAAACCGCTTTATTCTAGTTTACGCGGTAGCAATCAATCTACCAACACAACGCCGCAAGAATTTTTTAAATTGGTCGGTTAGTTTTTCTGAAATTGCGTCAACCGCATGGGTGATTATCGCGTAAATTGCAATTATTGAGAAATATTAAAAATTTGCTAGTTGATATGTGTTTTTGGAACGTGATGCGAAAAAACACTTTTATTTCAATCAAAAAAGTTGGACAAAGAATTTCATATTTAGTGAAACCGGTTTATTCTAGTTTACGCGGTAGCTAATCAATCTACCAATACAACGCCGCAAGAATTTTTTAAATGGGTCGGTTAGTTTTTCTGAAATCGCGTCAACCGCTAAAAAAAAACAACGTCTCGAGAAAAGGGCGTTTAAAGTTTAAATTCTTAACGATTAAAATTATCAAATAAAATAAAATGAAATTATGCCTATATAAGCCAACACTGGTTGTTGATTGTGCAATTTTATTACAATTTGAAGAATCAAAATTACATGTAATTAGTAAACGTTTCGACCTTGGTTTAGGTCATCTTCAATACATCAAATTATCTGCTGTTAGATCATCTTAACACCTAGTTATGGATCACCGCAATGTAACATACACTTAATTTCCATGTTAACTATATATGAAACATTGTATCCGAAATTACGTATATTTTAAATGAATTCATCAATTAACCGATGTTAAAATAAATTATTGTCACTCACATGTATTTGTAACAGTGTCTTTAAATTCAAAGTTCCAATAATGACTCTCTCATGTATCGCATTAATATATAGTCCATGTCTATATTACCATGACATCAACCTATTATTCAGACAAAAATTAATCTTATTTTGTAACGAGAGATCAGAAGATGTTGTTCGTATTATTAGTTCGTATTATTAGATATTAATGCGATACATGAGAGAGTCATTATTGGAACTTTGAATTTAAAGACACTGTTACAAATACATGTGAGTGACAATAATTTATTTTAACATCGGTTAATTGATGAATTCATTTAAAATATACGTAATTTCGGATACAATGTTTCATATATAGTTAACATGGAAATTAAGTGTATGTTACATTGCGGTGATCCATAACTAGGTGTTAAGATGATCTAACAGCAGATAATTTGATGTATTGAAGATGACCTAAACCAAGGTCGAAACGTTTACTAATTACATGTAATTTTGATTTTTCAAATTGTAATAAAATTGCACAATCAACAACCAGTGTTGGCTTATATAGGCATAATTTCATTTTATTTTATTTGATTTATTCGTTTGAGCCTATCAATTTTTCATTATAGATTAAAATTATATTTGATACCGAAAACATTCATTTTCTGGCAAATAGAAGCGGAATTCGGAAAAAGCCCTCGTAGCGCTTGTAAGAAGAGCAAATGTGAAAACCTGACGTGATTGGTTTGGCAAAATAATAACGGATACCGAAATATCTATTTTCTTGCAAATAGGAGCGGAAGTTGGAAAAAAAGCCCACGTAGCGCTTGTAATGCTGGATTCACATTGCATCCGATTTGCGTCGTACGACGTTCTGGAACCAATCAGGAAACAGAATGATACGAAGCAAAATCCATCGAAATCCTGTTTTCTGATTGGTTCCAGAGCGTCGTACGACGCACATCGTATAAAGTGTGAATCCAGCAAAACACCTGCCGCGCACTATTGCCTCCTGACAGTGGATATGAACTACGTAGCAAGGCCCACTTTTCTGAGGGTACATGCGTCAACTTTTCAAGGTTGCAGGTGATAAATCAATATTTGATTCGTATATAATGCGTGCTGTATACTGTTATAATATTTATATTGTGATTTAGGCGGGTCGCGGCAACGAAAATCTCGGTCGGTCAATCCGCCATTGATCTCCCCCACCGTGTAGAAAATACGCGGGCAAATGCGATTTTGTTCCACGCGCCTAATCACTTTCATATTTTATAATAACATAAAATCAAATTTATCTTGATGCGCTCCAGTTTTCTGCGTCGTATCGATCAATACGAGATAATAGCGGCTCTTTAGCAAAAAGTCCGCTCAAGCTTTGACTTTTTATATTACACTTTATTCAGGTATAAATGTTTCATGAACTGTTTTTAACAGTTGTACTTTAATATTTTTATGCACAGAATATTGAATTAAATCAATTGGTTAATCATTCAAAATCAAAATATGCAAAATGTTAATGCCTAATGTCTTTTTGAGGTGTGTGTGTTTATATTGTATATATGAGGCATTCGTTGTCAACGGGAGACCCCTATGCCCCCAAAATTGGGTTTGACGTAGAGGGTTCCACAATTTTGGGGGCATAGGGGTCTCCCGTTGACAAAGAATGCCCCATATATATCTGGATGTATATAACATTACATAGTTGTATATGTATGTAACTTATACACAATGTATTAAATATAATTACACTGTTAGAAATGTTCTTAAATTTCATTACATTTTAAGTTACACAATTTGAAATTAATTTCATATGACATTATATCAAATTT